GGCCTCCGTTTAGCTTTCTGGTCAGCTCAACTCTGCTGTCTGGTCTGCTCCACTCAGCCAGCCACTCAGCTTTAGAGATCAGAGCTTTCTAACTTGATGTGCCTCTTTTGCTGCTGCTGCATTTCTCCCCTTCACTGATTCTGCTACTGCCTTTCTCCCCTCCACAGATTTTGCCACCACCAATTTCTTATAGCCACTGGTTCCCGTTGTTGTTGCTCCAGGCCCATTGTCCTCCACCAGATAGGCTGCCAGGCTAGTGGGGGGAGGGCTGCTGATCTCTCTGGGGAGGGAATGTTGATCAAGTCCTCCTCCTGGGACAGGTCACTAGGGTGGGCTGCAAGGCTGGAAGGACACAGGGAAAGGGCTGTGGCAGTCAAGCTGCCTCCAGTTTGCTGGGCCCTGGGTTGGGATGCCTGGCTGCCCCCTTGAGCCAGGCTGCCTAGATTGGAGTATGGGTCTAGGCTATTCCTGAATATACTGTGACCCACCAGTTCGCTGCCTCCAACTGTCTCCCTTCTTGTCTGCTGTTCAGCTGCCATTTTGTTGCTCTCAGTTGCCTCTTTTCCAGCGTTGGGCTGCTTAGTTGAGCTCCTGAGCTAGATCTGTTGTTCTCTGCTGCCGGCTGCCTCCGACTCCATGTGTAGCCATTCATTCACTACACTCCTGTTTCCTGGTGTTTTACTCCTTATTCCAGTTTCTTCTTTTCCTTTATTCTTTCTATCTTCCTTATCTAACTTCCTGCTCCTTTTCCCCCTCTTTTTTCTCTCTCTTTGTATCTTCTTACTTAGTTTAGTAACTTCTCTCCCAGTGATCTGATAATGCTTCCTTGAGTCCTTGTCTGCACGATCATGCTCAAGTCACTTGAGCTTGATATAAATGGGTGACAGACATATAATAAAGTCTTAAGTGGAATCATTTTTTTTGTAAAGAACCATGTAATTAGTCTATGGAGATTCTCAATCATCCAGGTCATGGTTGTCCCAAAGGTCTTTTTCTAAAAGGCAACTGAACTTTCTTCATTTTTTCCTTTAAAAAATGTTTTGCTTTTCATCCAAGAAGCTTCTTCAGTTCTGAAGAACTGAAGTCCAGCTGCCTTTTGAAAAAAACACCTTTGGGACAATTATGTAGTTTGTCTTTGGGTGTATTTTTTTATGCCTTATCATGGCATAAGTCTGTGAAGAGCAAATATCAAAATACCAGAACAACAGTGGCAGATTGTACCTTACTGATGGTGGAAGTGGTACACTTGGATTCTTGGACTTAAGAAGTGATTCCTGGAATCGAACTACTGTTAGAAATAAATTGTTCTGTCTAAAGAGAACTACTTCCCTTAGTTACTCCTGCAACAAAAAGAAAATAGACTGTCTTTATAATGTTTACCAGGTAGCCCCATTTGAAGACAGAAACAGTCTTTGTATAGATTTTCTTTGAATTGCCTTTGACAAAACTCTGAATCACACCACACTTTTCTTCAGAATGGTGAGCTGTACAATATTATCATATGAATCTGATGCCTTCAAAAGAAAGGGGGAAATGAAAGCATTTTAGGTTTATCAGTCTGTAAGAAAAAAAATAAAAGGTCTGCAAGTTATTTAACAATTACTTAAGAGCTTAGGTGTAAGGACCCACCTCAACGTTACATCTTAAGAAGACAGAACTCTTGGAATATCTCTTCCAACAGGGATCTTTATTAAGAGAAGCTGATTGTAGGCATGTTAGACAGGATCTGGGGAATCCTCTCTCACCCTTCAATGTTTTAAAATGTTCCCAAGCAGCCCCCAACCCACAGTCCTTCTGGGCAATTCAATCCGTCGTCTGCTCCATCAGCACAATCACTCATCCTCTCTTTTCCAGATCCCAGGCATTGGATTTCCCCCCACCCCTTCTTCCTCACTGTTGGCAAAGAGTAAAACTTCAGAGGGACTAAGATGAAAAGCAGATGGCCGCATTGTCATGTTTAGTCCTCTCAAAGAGAATCCACAAATGGTCACTTTGTTGTTAATGAAGGAAGTGAGAGTCATAACCCCCCCTGCTTATCCTCCTCCCCTTTTGTAGTATGACAGAATCCAGCATACAATAAGAATTGGGTTTTTATCAGAGTAGGTAGATAGAAATGAAATATAATTGGATTCTGACATCCTGCCCCCTTAAAAATAAGAGAGATCCACCTGTAAAGAAAACAAAACAGGTATAAAAATTAATCTGGCTTGTTAGGATACTCTATATGAAACTTCTTTAATAGCTTTGGGGCTCTGACTTGACGTTTATGGACCCACTCATTTTGTGAGGCGGGGAGGTGTTTCCATGCTACTAGGTATTAAGTAGTCCCATGATATCTCCTAGAGTCTAGGATTTCCTTTATCTTGAAGTATTGTTCACCTTCCACCATAATTGGGGGTGGGGGGATTTTTGGCCGTAAGGGTGACTGCTGTTCTCTTTTCAGCAAACTGCAGTGGAAAATTGGGTGTATTTGCCTAAGATTTTTGGGTAGTTCTAATTCTACTGTTACTGGGTTTATGATTCTTTTAATTGGAAAAGGCCCTGTATATTTTGGTCCAAGTTTTTTACAGGGTTGTAGGGATTTTAGGTATTTTGTAGATAAGTACACCATTTCTCCTATAATGAAATGTGTGGGTTCGACCCTTTTTTAAATCTACTTGTGTTTTGTATGCTTGCCTAGCTTCATCCAGAGCTTTTCTAACTATTGGCCAGGTGTTTTGTAATTGTCCCATCCATTCTTTCAGTGATGGGATTGCTGGTTTGTTTGGGTTAGTTCTGGCATGGGGTTGAAACTTTGACCATAGCTATTTGAAAAGGAGTGTAACCTGTGCTGGAGTGGATTGCATTATTGTAAGCAACTTCTGCGAAAGGGAGTAGGTCTGACTGCTGGAAATTAAGAAAGCATCTTAAATATTGCTCAAGTACTGAGTTCGAATAGTACAGCTCCCACTGTCACATCACTTTCATCCGCCTGTATTCAAAAGGGCTTATCCATGTCTGAGTGCCTCAGAACTGGTTCAGCAGAAAAGAGTCTCTTCAATCTCTCAAACGCCTCTTGGCACTCCATTGTCCACTTTAGTGGTTGGCTAGGTTTTACTGAGGATGCTCCCTTCATTTTTAGTAAGTTCGTGAGGGGCAAGGCTATCTGGGCAAATGAGGGAATGAATTGGCGGTAAAAGTTTGCAAAACCCAGGAAACTTTGCAGCTGCTTTCTTGTGTGAGGTGGTGCCCATTCTAATACTGCTCTGACCTTTTCTGGGTCCATTTCAATGCCCTGTGGGGATATGCGATAACCTAGGTAGTCTATCCTTTCCTGATGGAATTCGCATTTCAATAGTTTGGCATATAGGTGGGTGGCTCGCAGTTTCTTTGAAACCACTCTGACTAGGTTGACATGTTCTTCTTTAGATTCGGTGAAGATAAGGATGTCATCTAAGTAAACCAGGACCCCCTTAAATAGGTGTTCCCTTAGTACCTTGTTGATCAATTGCATAAATACTGTGGGGGCCCCTTGTAATCCAAATGACAAAACTTTGAACTGGTAGCACCCCATTGGGCAGTTAAATTTGGTCTTTCATTCATCCCTTCCTTAATTCTCACATGGTAGTAGGCTTCCCTTAGATCTAGTTTAGTAAAAATTTTCCCTTTCGAGAGGTGTGATAACATGTCCTTCATGAGGGGTAGGGGGTATAGGTTGCTTTCACTGATTGTATTCAGGAGCCTATAATCCATGCATAAGCATAAAGAACCATCCTTCTTCTCTCTAAAGAGGACCGGGGAGGTCACTTTAGGCTTGGCTGGTTCAATGAACCCCCTTTCTAGGTTTTTCTTTATGAATCTTTCCATTTCATCCTTCTCCTTTGGGCTTATGGAGTATAATCTGGGCTTCGGGAGTTTTGCCCCAGGCTTGAATTCTATGGCACAGTCAGTGGGTTGATGGGGGGAAGCTCATCTGCCCTCTCCTCGCTGAAAACTTCAGCAAGATCTATGTATTCCTCTGGTATTTCTGGTACCACAAACTGTCACTTTGATATTAATGAAGGAAGTGAGAGTCATTAAAAAACCCCTGCTTATCCTCCTCCCCTTTCGTAGTATGACATAATCCAGCATAGAGTAAGAATTGGGTTTTATCAGAGTAGGTAGATAGAAATGAAATATAATTGGATTCTGACATTAGGTCCTGGCACACCTTTTCTTTTTTATTGAAAGTTTTTGCAATTTTACAATAAAATCTCTCTCCCACTACCTCCCTACCCTCCCAAAACCCTCCCCCCCTCTTCCCAGAGCTGCATACAGGGTTAGCTAGAACTAAGAATACAAAACATTTAAACTGAAGTAAACCTCAAACAAAAATTACATTAAAAAAAAATCCAATATATATATATATATAATTAAAAAAGTCCAATATATATATATAATAAAAAAACTTATTATCTTAAACTTTAAACTTTAAACATAAATTATTCAAAAACTAAATAATATCTTTTAATATCATACTTGTACTGTATAAAGTTTATCCATCTTTTCCACACCAAGAGATATTTCTCTTGCGATTGATCTTTCAAGTAAGCTGAAATTTTTGCCATTTCAGATAAATAAGAGACTTTAAAAAACCATTCCTCCAAAGTAGGCAAAAATTCCTTCTTCCAATATTGTCCTAACAACAACCTTGCCGCTGTAATTAAATTTAACATTAAAATAATTTTTTTTATCATCACAATCAACAATAATACCTAACAAAAACAATTGTGGAGTGAATTTTATCCTTCTCTTAAAATTTTTTTGAATATTCCACCTTATCTTTATCCAAAAAGCTTTTATACTTTTACATGACCACCAAATATGATAATACGTTGCATCCAAACAACCACATCTCCAACATTTAGGTTGCAAATTTGAATACATACGAGACATCTTTTGTGGATCAAGGTGCCATCTATAAAACATTTTATAAAAATTTTCCTGTAGATTTTGAGCTTGCGTGAATTTAACATTCCTCACCCAAATTATCTCCCATGTTTCTAATAAAACCGGCTCATCAAAATTTTGAGCCCATTTGACCATGCAATCTTTAACTGGCACACCTTTTCAAACATCTGTCAAGTGAAGACTCTAAAGCATTGAGAAAACAGTGAGGCTTTTAACATGTATTAGTATGTAAACTTCCCTATGTATAAATATCCGTTAGTCAATACTTTAAACCAGTTTGCACTCCCCCTTTTCTTTTCTTGCTAAAAATTAGTTCCAGTTTTTTAAAAAATATTCTTATTTATGTAGACAAAAAAACCAGTATTTTCTTTTTAAAAAACAAATCCTGAAAGCATAGTCAACTTTTCATATTTTTACTTGTTGCTAGTAGAAATTAATTTTGTAATATTTAAGAAATAGCAGCAGTTGGTTTGCAACAATAATGTAAGGGACAATTTTCTACTTTTACATTGATATCAGACAGCCCATGCCCCACTGGGTCATACTTTCAGAGATAATACCTTATCTAAACAGAGAAACAGAAGGACCCTGGGCAAACAAAAAACAAAAAAACAAAACCCAGTGGGAATATGAATGACTTCCAAATTCCTGCTGACTTTCCCATTGATGTTGCTTGTAGGAAGCTGGCAAGGAGTGTCAGAAATCACTCCTCCTCCACCTTGATTGATGTACAGAACTGTCTGCCATTGTGCCAAGCAGAAGGGGAGGGGAATGGGAGTTGTGGACTATGAGGAAAACTGGTAGCGAAGAAACACCTTTTTTGATCATGCAACTAGGCAGAGAGTCTTTAAAAAGGTTTAGGCAGGAAAAAAGGTGCAGCAATATTTGTTATTGTAGAGTCTTTGATTTACAACAGTTCATTTAGTGATCCTTAGAAGTTACAACAGCACTGATAAAACTGACTTATGTTTTTCACACTTGCAACCATTCCAGCATCCCCCATGTCATGTGATGAAAATTTAGATGCTTAGTCACTGTCTCATATTTATTGATAGTTGAATATTATTTATAGCTGCAATGTCTCGGGGTCATATGATCACTTTTTGTGACTTTCTGATAAGCAAAGGCAATGGGGAAGCCAGATTTACTTAACAGCCATGTTACTAACTTAACAACTGCAGTGATTCCCTTAACAACTGTGGCAAGGTTATAAAATGAGGCAAAATTCACTTAACAACTCTCTCACTTAGAACAGAAATTTTGGGCTCAGTTGTGCTAAGTTGAGGATTACTTGTAATTTACAATATTTTGCATTGTTCATAATACAATTGTGAATTCATTGATAAACTAGGGACTATTGATAAGTATAAAATATAGATTTTCCCCCTTTTTCTGCCTCTTTTTCTTAGTTCCTATTTTTAGTCTGTACTTTTCTTCTTTTAATATTTTTTCTATAAGATTGTTCTTTTAAAAATAAAGATTATATTAAAAATAAAAAGGCAAGTTTTAAAACTTGTAGAAAATTTGACAATAGATTTTATTCTTTTTAATAGTGTAATAAATTTATTTTGAATAATAAATATAAATTCATTTTCCACAATTCTTCACACTGATGCACTGCAATTACTTCTTGAAATTTTGCATTCATTTTATCATGCAATTTTTATTTGTTCTCTCTCCATGTTGTATTTCAATGTTTATAGATGCCACCTAATAAATGGTCTTGTTTTTGTATAAGATTTTCAGATTCTGTCATTTTTTTCCAGGTTCCCCCCCCTTTATCATTTTTAATCTTTTCAGTTATTTGTAGACATATATTAACCATGATAGTAGATTCCTTCCTTTGTGAAACAATACTTATCGTGTTTTGAATCTGTTTCCTGAATCTGAAGATACCATTGACATTTCGTTAGAGTAAAAAGCATGGGATGATGATGCTAATGGTGAGATTGCTGGATTTATCCTTGCTTTTAAAAGAATTTAGATTTTTAAAATACTTTTCTTATTATATGTCCATGTGTTTTTCTTCTTCTGTTTCTTTACACCATAGATATCCATGAAGTCCATTAGCTGGGCCTTTGCATACAGATGTTATCACCAAACTGTTTCTTCTTTGGACTGTGGAAAGAGAAGTTGATACATTACAGCCTAATTTAGCAAAAAGGGGTTGCTTTAATTGTCTCTTACTAGAATAGTAATAGATTTTCCAAAGTCTTTCTTCCGAGCCTTAAGAAATGTTTCCATTATTTTCCTCAGAATTTTCTAGGTACTGTAAGATTTGGGAATGAAATTAAACCCATAATAGTAAATCCTATAACTAAAACAAGTTTAAAAATTAGCCCAATGTGAGTGAGGACTCTGTGATATAATATGATCAGGAATCAAGGTTCTTTATTATTTCAGGAAAGACAATCCTTCCACTTCCAACTTTCTTGGTTTGCAATAGAAAATTTTGCAATTAAGATGGAAAGTATTTGAGCTGAAAACATTTCCAAACCCTTTAAAGCATCAGGAAATTTACATGTTCAACTTAATACAATTGCAGACCTTGCTTGATTCAAAAAGGTTGGGGATGAAGAGGCAGAGTGGAATGTCTGTTCCCATCTCCTTTCCAGATGTTTGTTTCAGGAATATCCAAGGGATTCCCTAAGTGAGCTACAGTATTTAACAATGAAGAAAAAGAAAGGAACCTGCAAAAGTTCTAATGTTCCCAATTCCTCCTCCCTATGCACACTTAGTTGTTTTTTGATGGTAAAGAATCGCAGATTGCTGAAAATTTAAATCATGTATGTCTTTAGTGATGTATTTAATTTTGAGAAAGAAGGTGCACCCCTTCATCCCTCCCTCCCTCCCTTCCTTCTTTCTCCTAATATACAAGGCAAGGTGCCAAATTTATTTCATCTTACAACAGTGAAAAATTGGAAACAGCTGTTGTTAGAAAATTTTAATTTCTCTGTTGGTGAAAAATAAACCAGAAGTTGACTGCATTTAGCTGATTCAAAATAACTTCTTTATATTTATATCAAAATATTTACAATACCATACATTCTTCTTTACAGCAACATAGCTTAATGAAGACTTCTTACCAAGAGATACAGACACAAACCTGAGACTGAAAATTCAGCTCCTAACTCAATACCCTTTTGCACAGACTCAGTAGCACTTTCTTCACATTGGCTGACTGAGTTACCACATGACTCTTCCTGCTCATGAATATTCCAACACTCCTCCCTTCATGACAGGAAGAGACATCAGACCTATTGACTTAATACATTCTCCATAGTGAACACCACCCAATGGTTTAGTCATCATTATTTGGCAATACCTTTTTCTTATATACCCACTTACAACCCACAGCTTTGGTTCCCTGTGGCAAAGTCACTGATTTAAATACTTCATGGTATCCCATGGATTTAATCTCTTTATCCATGGCCTCCTTCCATCTTTCTTGTTCAGCTTTTGGTAATGCCAACACCTCTTTATAACTTCTTGGCTCATACTGCACATTGCAAACCTTTACCTTGCTGGCAAAATACCTGTCAGGTGGATATTTTGTTACATCGCTCTGACCTACATGGTATTAACTGCTCCTGTGTCTCAAGTCTTTCTGGCTTCATGTCTTGTTCAGCCTCTCCTCCCTGAACATTGACATCTTCAATAATAATTTTTCCATCATTAGATGAGTTATTGTCATTAAATAGATCACCATCATTAAGTGAGACATATCCAGAATTTGCATTAATTCTGTCCCAATTTTGTTCTGCAAAATTAGCAGACCTTGAAATTACAATTCTTTTACTTCCATCGCTAAAGCGATATCCTTTTGACCCTGGCTCATAGCCCACAAACCTGAGCTTTCTTGCCTTTTGCTGTCCCTTTCTTCTGATTGCTTTCGGAATATGTACCCATGCAGTACTTCCAAAAATTCTCAAATGTGCCAGTGATGGCTTTCTCCCATATAGAATGGCATATGGAGTATTATTAATGGAGGAACTCCACAGCCTGTTAACTATATAATTGGCAGTCAATATGGCTTCTCCCCAATATGACCTGCTCATACCAGAATATTCTAATAATGAATCTTTCATTGTTTGCAAAACACCATTCCTTCTTTCAGCTACACCATTCTCTGCTGCCATGTAAGGATTTGTACATCTGTGTCTTATCCCCAACTGCCCCAACCATTGTTGGAATTTAGTTGACATAAATTCAGTACTTCTGTCAGTTTGCAACTGACACACTTGTTGTCTGTACCTTCTCTCTACAAAACTTACCCACTGTTTGACTTGTTGTAGCACTTCTGTCTTACCTCTAAGCAAGTAGCAAAACAAATACCTGCTATAATCATCAACAATTACCAGTGCATATTTTGCTCCTCCCAAACTGGCTTGCATAGGTCCCACCAGATCTGCATGGACCAGCTCTAGAGCTCTTTTTGTTTGTCTTGTGCTATATTTACTAACTGGGAATGCCTTTGACTTCAATGCTTTGCATACGGAACAGTCTAAATATGTTTTGCATCCCTTCAAATATAGCCCTTCTGCAAAATCTTGCATTTGCTGCAAAACTTTAAAGCTTGCATGGCCAAGTCTTCTATGTAGAAGGTGAACGCACGAATCATGCTCTGCAACATTCTTAAATATATGGGAACACTGAACCTTTTGTCCCAGCAATACATATAGGTTATCTTCCTTTATGCCTTCTGCACAAATATTCCCATTCCTTTTGATGAGACACTTCCCATTTACAAAAATGATCTCAAAACCTTGTTTGTCTAAATTAGACATACTTAACAAATTATGTTCCATCTCAGGTACACAAAGCACATTGGTAAACTTTGATTCCAAATATGGAATTTTTACATCGCCTCTTCTGATGACTTTTGCTTTCTGGCCATTTGCCAAAGCCACAGCTTCTTGTGCTACTGGAACAAACCTGCAAAATAATTCAGAGTCATTAACAATTGTTTGACTTGCCCCACTATCTATTAACCACTTGTCTCTGTTGTTGCTAGAGCAAACATTTGCAACACCAAAATGTTCCTTTTGCAAAACAGTCTTTTTTGCTTGCACAAATGTCCTTTGCTGCAAATTGTTCCTCTGCAAACAGTTCCTTTTCAGATGGTTGTTTGCTCCACAAATGTAGCAATTCTTTTCTTGCTGAGCTCTCTGCTTGCAAAATCTCTCTTTTGATGCAACTTGGTCCCATTTGCTCCTTGTTTCTTCTCCAGAGACTTGCAGTCTGGACCTCAGGAATTTCTCCTCCTCATGGCTGTTCCTAAAATATTGCTTTTCTTCTTCATTAAGCAAACATGCCTTTAAAGCCTCAAAATTTAAGTCTTGCTCTTCTTTACACTCAAATATAGCAGAAGCTCTGGGCCCATAACCTGTTAGATGTAGTAATCAGTCCTTAGTCATTGAAGGGTGCAAAGAAATGGCCACTTTCTACGCAGCCTTTATTTATTTATTTTTTATTGAAAATTTTTATAAATTTTTACAAAAAAACAAAATAACAATACAAAAACGAAAAACAACATATACAAAAAAGCTAAACATGACATAACAAAACTCCCCTTCCCTGACCCCCCCCAAAACACCCACCCCCTTCCCCCCCTGAGCTTCCCAGAGCAGAATATAGGCTTAATTAAAAAAGAATTAAAAAAGTTATATATATATATATATAAAAAGAAAATATAACACTGAGATATATGTATATATATATAAAAATAAAAGTTATGAAAAAGCTATGTGATATTTTTTTATATCCAATTTAAATTGTATAAATTTTATCCATTTATCCCAAACAGCTAAAAATTTCTCTTGCATTTGTTCCTTTAAAAAAAGCCGAAATCTTTGCCATTTCCGCCAAATAAGACACTTTAAGGAACCATTCCTGCATTGTAGGCAAAGATTCCTTCTTCCAGTATTGTCCTACTAACAGCCTTGCGGCTGTAATCAAATTTAACATCAATATAACCTCCTTTGTATCACAATCAGTAACTATGCCTAGCAAAAATAATTGTGGAGTAAATTTTACCCTCCTTCTAAAAATTCTCTGAATATTCCACCATATCTTAATCCAGAAGGCTTTTATCTCTCTGCACGACCACCAAATGTGATAATAGGTAGCATCCAAACAACCACATCTCCAACATTTAGGCTGTAAGTCAGGGTACATGAAAGACATTTTTTGTGGATCAAGGTGCCATCTATAAAACATTTTATAAAAATTCTCCCTTAAATTCTGTGCTTGTGTAAATTTGACAATCCTCACCCAAATGGTTTCCCAGGTATCCAATGGAACTGGTTCACTAAAGTTCTGCGCCCATCTAATCATACAATCTTTAATTAATTCCGTTTCTGAGTCCAATTCAACTAGAACCCCATAAATTCTCTTAATATGAGTTTGTCTTTGATCCTTCACTTGCTTAATAAAATTTTCATCTTCTCTAAGAAAACCCACCTTACAATCCACCTTTCATCTGTCTACTAATTGCCTGTATTGAAACCAAGAATAAATAATATTTTCTTGTGCTAACTCTTCCCGTGATTTTAACTGCCAATTTTGTCCATCCCATCTGAGTAGCTGTCTGTAAGACACCATGTCCATTTTAACACCTCTTTTTATTCCTTCTATCGCATGCCAAGGTATAGCCCATAATGGTACTTTAAAATCATCTTTATAATATTTTCTCCAAATCCTAAGTAAGGAAATTCTTATAATGTGAGATTTGAAAGCCCAATCCACTTTTTTATTGAATATTAAATAGGCATGCCACCCAAAAAGTAAATCCCATCCCTCTAGATGGAGTATCTCAAGATTTGTCAAATTTACCCAGTCACTAATTAGTGTTAAAACCACCGCATCATAGTATAATTTCAAATTTGGTACCTTGAGTCCACCTCTCTCACGGAAGTCTTGCATGATTTTAAACTTAACCCTTGGCTTTTTCCCTGCCCAAATGAATTTATTGACGCCTTTCTGCCATTCACTTAAATTAATCTCATTCTTCAAAATCGGTAACATTTGGAACAAAAAAAGAAACTTGGGTAGAATATTCATTTTTATCACTGCAATTCTTCCCATGAGAGATAATTGCAACTTCTCCCAATTCTTCA